AGCCTCCCTGGTAAGGTCTATTCAGGGGTGCTGGAGAGGAGGGTCCGTCAGGAAGTCGAGCCTCAGATTGAGGAGGAGCAGTGTGGTTTTCGTCCCGGCCGTGGAACAGTGGACCAGCTCTACATGTGTTTTGTGGACTTGGAGAAGGCGTTTGACCGTGTCCCTCGGGGAGTTCTGTGGGGGATCCTTCGTGGGTATGGAGTACCGAACTCCCTGATACGGGCTGTTCGGTCACTATACCGCCGATGTCAGAGTTTGGTTCGCGTTGCCGGCAGTAAGTCGGAATCGTTTCCAGTGAGGGCAGGACCATAACTTTTATGGACAGAATTTCTAGGCGCAGCCGAAGCTTCGAGGGGGTCCGTTTTGGTGGCCTCAGTATTTCATCTCTGCTTTTTGCAGATGATGTGGTATTGTTGGCTCCTTCAAGCAGGGCTCTCCAACTCTCACTGGAGCGTTTCGCAGCCGAGTGTGAAGCGGTTGGGATGAAAATCAGCACCTTCAAATCTGAAACAATGGTCCTCAGTCGGAAAAGGGTGGAGTGCCCCCTCCGGGTCGGGGAGGAGATCTTGCCCCAAGTGGAGGAGTTTAAGTATCTTGGGGTCTTGTTCACGAGTGAGGGCAGCAGGGCGCGAGAGATCGACACGCGGATCGGTGCAGCGTCTGCTGTGATGCGGACCTTGTATCGGTCTGTCGTGGTAAAGAAGGAGCTGAGCCAAAGGGCGAAGCTCTCAATTTACCGGTCGATCTACGTTCCAACCCTCATCTATGGTCACGAGCTATGGGTCGTGACCAAAAGAACGAGATCCCGGATACAAGCTGCCGAAATGAGTTTTCTCCGCAGGGTGTCCGGGCTCTCCCTTAGAGATAGGGTGAGAAGCTCGGTCATCCGGGAGGGGCTCAGAGTCGAGCCGCTTCTCCTCCACATCGAGAGGAGCCAGATGAGGTGGCTTGGCCATCTGATTCGGATTCCTCCTGAACGCCTCCCTGGTGAGGTGTTCCGGGCATGTCCCACTGGGAGGAGACCCCCACCGCCATTTTGTTTCCCTTCACACTTTGGAGGTTATTTTCCGTCTTTTTCTAACAAAATGGCTGCATTGCTGTGAACTTGTGACGTTTTTTTCACTGACGATTGTTGACTTCCTGCCGTGGAATTTGTCCCAGACTCGAAGTGAGAAGAAGGAATTTGTTTCATTAAAGGAGAAATATTATTATTTCTCAGTGTTTCCGGGTGCCTTACTTTATAAAACTAACTGAATCAAAGTGTGTCAAACTCTACAAAGGATGAATCATTATAACCCACGAAGCATCAACTTGTCACACTTTGCTCGTGGTTAATCAGTTTTGGGGAGGCGGATTGATCTCACGTCTTTTGTTACCATGACAACCAGTCAGGGTGTTAGGACCAAACAAGTGTAGCTTGACTTGTTTTTTTTTTTCTCATTTATTTTCCCCCTTAAAACAACCACTATCAAATTGTCTGAGCACAGACCTTCACCAAGACTAACATTTCTCTCCCGTGTGACATCATTGATCAATCGTTTTCACTTGTCTTTCCGGGGGTCTATCCGGTCGTATTCCGGAAGTAAACCTGAAGTTTTGACTCTATCTCCGTGCAGTTCCGCTTGTTGTGCAGGAGGTGTCGTCCTTTCACCACTTGACGGAATTCCAAAAGTCCTCCACCAGCGTACATTGGCTTGCTTGCGTCGAATATGTAGCAGTCAAACAGAAACATGTAATCTTTTATTCATTTTTAAGACGCGAAATTAATTTTTAGATGGCCAATAAATAAATACATCGCAACTCTGATTATAAAATAATGGCGGTGGTCCAGCCAGCAGGGGTCGCTGGTATACAAAGGGACCACACGGTTTGGGAAAAGCCCTCAAACACTCAGGATGACGTCACGGCTAGATTGTTATTATCTTAATTACGGTATGTATTTTTTTTAATTCAGTGTGATGTAACTACGCTTTATGTAGACGTGTTTAATACAACTGCTACATTAGACACGTGTGTGTATTATATGTATAATGTGTGTGTGTGTGTGTGTGTGTGGTGTTTGGGAAACTGCTGAGTAAGGCTGATGTAACAGCTTGATATTCCTTCCCATGCTGTTTCCTAATCAAAGTGGTTGAGGGCGTGGAAGGGAAAATAACACAACGAAAAAACACGTTTGACCTGCAGCTTCCCCCCCCCCCCTACAAGAACAAAAACTTTTTTTAATCCACCTTTGGAACGTTCGATCACACTGACGTGTCACCCTCCTCATTTTCATCGTCGTCTCTGCTGTGATTGTTGGCCTGGCGTCCAGTCAAGCCTGTCACCTGTTCAAATATTCCACCTGTGCTTGCCATTTTCTTTCCACGAGTGGAAGTTTCGATGCAGCTTTGTCTCAGTCACCATGTCGCCACTTTTTGTTGTTGCCCAATGTCAGGTGTCACAAAACGAGCGTTTAATTCTAAATGTTTTTTTTTTTGTACATCCGAAAAATAATACCACCACCTTGCTTCTCACGGATTGCCACTCATTTTGTCATTTTATAATTTGATTACTTATTTGTCGGGCCACAAATGTTTTAATTAGTATGTTTTCAATGTTTTCATTTCCATCCCTCCTGAGCTATTAATTGACGTTGCAGAAAATCCATCAAGATTGATCATGATTCAGTTTCTGCTTTGGTTCGTAACTTCCGGGAGAAAATCGGCAAAAATGTTGGTGATTGTTTTCCAAAGAGAAAACAGTTGTTTGCAAATAATTTTCACTAAAAACAGAGATAAGCAGTCTAACGTCTTTCAAGAAGGACAACAGCAATTGTAGAATATTTTAATAGGGATGGGTGAGTACCGATACCAGGTATCAGTATTGTGCCGATACCAGTCTTATCTCAAGCAATCTGGTTCTCGTGAAGGATGCCGATACCAGACACATGTAAGGCAAATAAATAAATAAATCATAATAATAATAAATATGACATGGAATAATTCTTCCTTCACAGTAGATGGTGTTGAACTCTGATGTATCTGATTTTTATTGTCATTTTGTTCCTTGAAATTTTATGTATCATAAGTGGTAGAGAGGTTTTTAATCTCACTGGGATATTTCCTGGTTAGATAAAGTTTTCAAAATTTTGGAAAAAAACTAATGGTATCACTATTTGGTATCGGTGAGTACTCAAGGGTGAATACTCACACTGGTATCAGTTCTTAAAAAATGACTGAACATCTGCTTAATATTTAAATTAAATGCATTATGAATGGATGACCAAAACATTGGGTAATTTGGTTGATAATTGATGAGTTTTCGCTTAATCATTTCACCTCGACCAATATCGTAAGACGTACAGACACATGACAGGCTAATCACCAAAATCAGATTACAAATAGATTGGGGACTGGTCATTGGAATATGTCAAGAGCACGGATAGAGAAAGTACGGACTGGTCGCCACTCATGTCAGTACATGTAGACAAACTCCGGATTGGTCACCTGTCAATGTCAAGAGTCATATAAACAATTGACTGGTCTCTGTAATGGAAAAGCACACCGACAAAATGGATTGGTCTCCAGTGAATATCCGGTCCCTACTGACTAAACTACTGACTGGTCGCCATTCCGTGACAGGGCATTCCTACTGAAAGCAAGAATTGGCTGTCAGTAAGTGACTTGTAATGTATGTTTTTTGCTTTTTGTGCTTGTCATCCCGATGAGTCACAAATTACGGCCAAAGGGGTTACGCGTGACGATGACATCATCTCATGACATCATCCCTCCCATGATCGCTACTGTGAGCAGCGGCCTCCTGCATTATTGAGCGTCT